AGCGGTGAGTGTGCAAAGCTGTGTTCAATGTGACTGAAATCTTGGTTTAGCGTTTTCTCTGTTTGGTTATGGAGGTGTTTGGCCGAATAGATTGCTGTCAACTTGACCATTCCAGGCTCTGAGGAAGGCAAAATCCGCCGAAACGTCAGCTTATTCGTGAATAAAGAATAAAAGTAACAGCTCGCGTTTGCTCAACAAGAATACGAAGTATAACCACAATGATGCTAAGACATTTGTAAAACATGTATTCCAGGTCCGATTCAAACCTACTGATTACAATTTCCTTGTGCTAACGTGTTGCACACTGGAACTCTGAATTCCTTGTCCTGCCTTTCTCTCGGCAAACTTTTTACGCTAATGGTGCCATTTTGCGCTAATTAGGTAATGCATGAGTTTCCGTAAAGGGTAATCGCTGATTAAAATTCGACCAGGGGTCCAAGTTTTGCGAATATCTCAGTATCATAGCGTTTGTACATCACATCATGCTTTACCGTGAAAAAGTAATAATAGGCAGTAAATAGAATACAAACATCCATGGATATTGTTCGTAAAGGAATATTGCGACCAGTATGATCTCAATATGGGCGCCTGTGGTGCAGTGGTCGGAGCCGCCCCGCAATGTACACTGGATCGATTTCCGCGCGTCTGCCCACCAAGCCCTCCATCTCTCCGGGATCAGCAGATTTGTACCAAACTTGTCTGGGATGGTAGCAGGACTGGTTCAATGAGTCGATAGGCCACCACGGCTCGTCGTAAAAGTCAGGTATGCATTCGATCACTTCCAAACGATGCTTAGTGAGAGGTAATGCATGGTGTACCAGGAATTGATCGATGCTGAAAGCTTTATCCTTTTATTTGTGATCTCCATGGTAGTCGCATCCTTTTCTGTGTTTACTTTTGGCGTATAGAACTCTTTCTTACAATTCTTGTTACCTGCCGATATCCACGCAGTCACAGCGGATATCATACATGTGAGGCTCTTTAATTTGAAATTTTTCAGAAAACCTTGAGACCAGTTAGTATTCATAACGAAAAACATATCTAATGAAGATGATAGCCGCTACACAGGCCATCATAGCCATTTAGAAGAGTACTTCAACACTGAAGTTCGGAAGTTAGAGATATCTTCTGGCTGCAGCAATATGACACAGTGAAAAGAAGTAGAAAGAGTTATTCAATCAGTGCCGAGATTATTGGAAAGTCGGACTTGGGAGTTACAGTGAAAAGACTTCTACAAGTGAATTGCTGTTTAGAATTGTGTACTGAGCGTCAGCAAAAGCGTTCGTCTGCTAAAGAACGAGGTGCTCATCAACGTGTTTCCGTAAAAGGGATAAAAAAGTTCTCGACGTTGATCCATTTTCGAAGTATAAGCTGTGCATTCAACTTTGTCAAGCATCGCTACAGATGAATGAGTGCATATCTGATATTACAAACACATACGCAAGTAGATTTGCTTTATTTCACTCTTCTTTCATTCCTATGGCACACCTGCATATCACTTGCAAGCTGGCCGTTATCACCAATGTGTGACAGATTCATGGTTATACTTGTTCTATTGTTCTACTAATCTGCAAGTGTTTGCACCAGGTCGATTTCAGCCCATCACTTAGAAAACTATTGATTCTGCGGAATAGTTACTACATCCCAACCTTCCTCTCGACTTGAAATGACAGTTCAGTTTGCGTGTAAACCTTAGCAAGAAAAAATGAGGTACATATTGCAACAGGTCTTCTATACTGGATGAAAGTTGATTTATGCTGTATGTTTGGAATGGGCACTACGGAATGAAGTTCCCCATTCTCCTTTTATTCGGTTCGATGCGACTACCAGTACCCATATGGCAACAACGATTATTTTAGAACCACCGCCTCGGATCAACGCGCCCAAATGTTGACTGAATAAAAGTTTTTATGCCAACTTCATGTTAGATCAATCATGTAGAAAATTACTGATTATGGTTACCAAGGCTTAATGAAAGACAGCTTTTAAGATACTCTTCAGAATAGTCACAGTGACCCCTCAAAGCTAGTCTCATCTTTTGCATTACTTGGGTTTGAATGACCTATCTTCACTGGTAGCTTGGATCCCAGCACAATTTTCACTCTTTTCTCTTCAGCGCTAAGGTCGTGGTGGACTGCTCCAAACATCGTCACGACTGTGAGGGCCATTTCATAGTTCTTCAATTGTTAGCATTTGCGAATTCGGATTGTTGATGTTGGCCACCAATACCTCCGCAGTCGCTCAAGAGAACAATTGAATTTTGTCCGAGCGTATTTCACAGTTCTTTTCGTTTATCTGTCATCTGCTGTTCGTGTTATTAGGCCGCCTTGTCGAACGTTTTTTAATGAGTATGAAAACGCTTTCTTATAGCCGATAAAAGTCGGGACTAGAGGAAACTTGTGAAAGGATAAAGGATAGAACTTTCGGCGCAGATTAATCTCTGAAGAATACGCCATACATTCATTGTCATAGGTGGTTGAATGCATACCGGGCCTATATAATGACTCGCCGTGGCCTAGCGATGTACCAAGCCAGTGTTGCTGTCCTCTCAGACAAGTCTGGTCCCAATTTTCCGACATCCGAGGCATGGAGGGCTTGATGAGCCTGGGAGGTGGGATCGGTCCCGTTTGTGTTGCATGGCGCCTCTAATCACTGCTCTAAATGCGTCTAAACGAGGAACTTGGTATTGACCACAGACTTCAGTGACCTTGGACACATTCAGCTGTAGTCGGTCCAGCGAAATCGCTTCTGGAATCCAGCTTGCTTGGCAGGCTGTTCCTCATCTATTGCCCTTGTTATGCGCGACAAGATAATCCTCGTTAAGATCTTTTAGAGTGCACTCAACAAACACAATAACAATATGATATACTCAAAATATCGGACAATGGTGACAAAAATGTATTCGGTTATCCTTCTGGGGAAGAATGACGAAGATCGGTACTAATCAACGTCAATGATGACCTTAAAGAATGTATGGCCTTCTCTGTAGAACTTCTCCAAGTCCATAAAGAACGCTTCGACTTCTTCATCATAGCTTGATGTCGGCGCGTAAGAGATGAAGATTGTCAAAGCCGATGTTGATCCACATCTTTTTAATCCGAAAGACCAACTTTCTATAAACCTCGTCATAGATAGTTGATATATTTATTTATGTGATCTTATAAACTGATCTTAAGCTGACGCGAGATTGGTACAGATCTTCGTTGTCGTTGTCCTTGTTTTTGATGTTATTGATCGATGGCTGACGTTTCGGCGACATCGCCTTCCTCAGAGCCTGGACGTATTTTATATTAGAATATTTTTATTATTCGGTGGAAAAAAAGGTTAAAGTGTTAATGAAGACCAAACTGTCAAATAGACGCCATATTGAACATAAAGCCCACTCACCGTGATGTTACGTGCGAGACTGGCCCACGCGTTGTTTTCGTGGAGTCGCGAGCAAGACACACCCCGGAGTCAGAAAATGATTTTGAAATAGGGCACTAGGTCACGCGTGATAGTGAGGCATTCGTCTTTCCGGTTCATTTTTGGATTTTTGAAATTTATCCAGAACGCCTCAAGAGTTTTGCGCGTTGATGTTTTTGATTCCTGCGCTAGGATCCGCACACTCACTTCAAAATCATCGCCGTTGTGCTTTGTGCCCTATGCGTACCTAGAGGAGTGTTTAGACGGATTTTAGCTTTTCCATCTAGATATTCTTTTATGCGGAGACAAAGTGGTCTACCCGTTCCCCAATATATTCCTCGCCGCATGTATTACATGAGATCAAGTATATTATACCTAAACTCATGCAATCCCCGTCTCTCCCGTTAGGACAGATCGTACAGTTTTCCGAGCTGCACAAACGATCATAGAGACGGTTTCGAACTAACTGGCTGCGTAGGGTATTGGGTGGGATGTCAATAATCGTTACATAATTTTCAAGACCACTTTTTCTTAAGCGCTTTTTAATGGCGTGATTTACTTTATTTGATATGAAGGGTAGCTTAAAGGGGATCTTACTTACGTCCGAAATAATATTTTGGGAAACTACCCAACGTTTCCCTCTAACCGGAGTGGCTTCTACTTCGTAGCCACTGGAAATGGCAATTTTTCGTGCCAGGCTTCGCGATTCCTTCCTTTCCTAGTCTCCTGTACACACATTTTTAGTCGTACGATACATGTTTTCAGTAAGAGCTTTTTTATGTGTGAAGGATGAGAGGAGGAGCTCACATCCAACTGTTCTTGTGTGGAACAGACGATGAAGCAGTGGTCTATGTATCAACAGCAGAGTAAAGGTCGGTGATCGAGAACTGGAGTTTCCACCTTAGACATGAAAGCGATGGCAAGGTTTAGTGCTAAACGCTGTCCCATCGCCAACCCTCTAATTTGTGCAAAATATTTTCGAAAACACTTAAAGATTGAACAACTAAGACACTGTTTTAAGAGAGTCATTAGTTACGCAATCGACAAGCCGTGCATTTTTATTTTCTTTCCATGCTCTACGAGCAACTCGAGAATGGCTTGCATTGCGGAGTCATTGGACACGTTAGTATAAAGTGAAGTAACATCGAATGACTCCATTATACGCGTGCTGTTTGGTTGCGGGCGCCTTAGGTTATGCAGAAATATTTTGGTGTTAGGTAGGTGGTTTGGAATGAATTTTAGCAGCTGGGTTAGGATAAGGTTTAGGAACCACGTTATTCTATCCGTTGGCCCGTCTATACAACTGATGAGAAGTCTAGCTTTGTATGATGATGGGTTCGTTGACGTAATATCATCAGTTGAAATAAGCCTATGTGTTTTAATAAGCAGGTAAAGAACAGGGCAAATCGGGTGTTCGTTTTTAAGTCGACAAATAACTGAAGGCTCTAAACCTGCGGCCTTTGCCGTGCTGACCAATTTTTGATTTGATTTTCGGTACCATGGAGTGTCTTGGTCGCCATGATAAACTCAGAAAGCCGCTGACCCTGTTCTTTTTATTCCAATCCGTGGGTTCCAATGTGACGTTCTTGAGACGTTCATCTTGGTCCAATCTTGGGGTTGAAATCTCCAATGATGACCTTGAAGTATGTGTGGTCTTCTCTGTAGAGATACTCCAAGTCCATATAGAACGCTTCGATTTCTTCTTCGTCATAGTTTGATGTCGGCGCGTAAAAGACGAAGATTATCAAAGCCCGTATTGATCCACATCTTTTTAATTGTAAACGTCCGATTCGGGTTGTAAGCTGTTCGAATGAATCGAAGTTCATGGACAAGTTCGTGTTGACGAGAACGCCGACGCCGCCGACTCCTCTACTGTCGCATGTTCCGAGGAACAGTTCTTCTCCGGTGTAATAGACGGCATTGAATGGTTGGCGCGATCTCGACTCGGGCAGTTCGACAACGTCGTGCCTTATCCTTCTTGACTGAATGGTCAAATCTTCTATTGAGGTTTAAATTATAGTAGGCAAAAAACTAAAAGGTATAACATTGTGATTTCTCTCATTTGAGGGAGATCGGTGGATGCGCTGAAACGTTAACCAACGATTAGTTGACGCTCACATGTAAATTTTTTTCCGACTTTTCGACGGACCATCGATTCGGATCATCGGCTCTGAGGAAGACGAAGACGTCGAAACGTTAGCCGAAAATGAATATCATTATCAACCTCGTGTAAGCTCATCAAAGAAAGAAGACGTATTGCTCACATATAGAGTTGGCGAACGCTACAGTTCCGGGTATCGGCGTAGACTCAACCTCGCAAGCTTACTTGGAATATCAATAATTACTTCTACAATCGACATAAATAAAATAAACGGAGCAAAGGAAGTGGCAAGACAATTCAATAATTCATCACACTTCTCGGGACAGCATCTCCAAAAGATCTCCGCCATAAAGATACTTATGTGTATGTGCTATTTATATTCTTCCCATGATTTTGAAAAGTTTTAACTATTGTTTAAATGTACTACTTTGACAAAATGGAACTTCTGCTGTTCTCCCAAACGACGGTAAATTTAGGAAGCTGATGTCTCCTACATCATATTCTTTGTGCTCTTTGCTGTTCGGTGATACTCACCATCATTTAATGACAAAAATTTTAGGAACACGTCAATCACACGATGTACTGGACCTACACGACTTGTAGTAGGTGACGTGTAGGAGACGAAGGGCAGCATGGAAAACTCTACCTTCCGAGAAGGAAAAAAATTCCTGTTTAGGAAGAGTATAAAACTGAGCCACGGTCAATACATGGGCCAAAAAAGATTTTTCTTGCTCTCAAGTAGACTCTATATCAAAGGGAAAAAAATAGAAAAAGTCACATTCAAGATAAATTTTACAGCCAGATAACCTGTATTATATTTTATACATACATTATATATTTTATTGTACATATATTGTTGAAAATATGCCTCATCGGAATCGTGTTTGCAGAACTGCATGCGAAATCAAGTAAAACCTACTTGTTAATAAGCTACCACGGATCCGCTCTTTAAAAAACAACGGGGTCAACGATAACGCACATTCCTCCACCTCATTTCTACCTCACTTGCTGTCCTTAACGATGTTCATTGAAGAGTTTTTTTGTATTTTGCTTTCTCTCTATTCTTGTCACTAACTATTTTAGCTCACTTATCCCAATCGGAAAACAAAATTAAGAAAGTAGACCACGCAGCATCTCGGCGAAGGCTTCAGCTTCTATTACATAAGGCAGCGTGAAGTTATCCTTTATGGGTCCTTCCGCTTTATGTAGAAGAGGTCCACCACGTTTCTTGTCGATTTTTCGAAATAATTTTACTAAGTTACCATTTGCTCCCAACGGTTTACCGCCTCATCGTGGATAGGAGGTTTTCCTGGGTGTCGGACTGCGATGTACAATAGGGAATTCATTGACTGACAGGGTCTCCCAAGCTGAGAAGGCGTCCGGTGCTTCCATCAGGAAGCCTAGCTAAGAACCCACCACAATCCCCCTACCAAAGTTGCATATTAGCATATCTCCCTTTGATCCACAAGGGGTGCGACTGCCTGTAGTGGTGAAGACCTAGCGCAGACTTTGGCCAGGCTGACACCACGATTTCAGGGAACCAAAATGGTTTAACCAGCAACTCTGCGAAAATTGGAAATTATGCTGGAGCCCGCAAAACCAGTGGGGACGGGCCATTCAAGTATCAAGTATCAAGTAAGTAAGCGTTACCATCTAGTAGTGCACCGAATTTCAACGTCTCTATTACGTTTCGTTTATGTCGAACAGTCGTTTTTATAGCTAGCCGAGGTGATGAAACCCCTAATACAGCATTTTGCCGTTCGCAACCTGGTACATGCATAAGTAGTCTTTCTTTGTTCGAAGATAGTCGTAGCAGTTAAAAAAATGTAACGTCCTTTTTGTTGAATTCGATTCCAACTAGCAGGTATTACCAGCAAAAAAAGCAAGAAAGAGTAGTGCGGAGAGGTTGAGGGGACCCTGGATCGACCCATGGTTCGCACTCTAGCAAATTTGTCCCTATCCTTGTGGGGTTCGAAAGGTGATATCATCGCCTTAAAAGTTAAGAACTCTTATTTAATATACCTGTAGACTACTTGAATTTATTGCATACGGCAGATATACATTAAATCACTTCTACGAAGCTTGTCGATGTCACATGTAGAAAAATCATGGAAAGCATTAATCAGGAGTTGATCAGCGCCTAAGGATTCGGGCCACGGTTGAAAAAATGTCTTTGCTTAATTCCTCGGCATATATTAATGAGTAGTTTAAAATCATTCCCTCCAGCCATTTTTCTTCTATTTCCGTAATATTTCAATTCTTACTCGTCTTTCTTCGTTTGATTTTCGAATTTATAGATTTTCAAACTCGCCATTTCTCATAATCTTCCGCTGTAGTAACCAATGCACACATCTCCAAGCGCATCTTTGAAGGCCGGTGAGTTTGCATAACATTGGTAGTTGTGGACGGGAAAGGGGGAAGAAGCAACGTTACTCTGGTCCTTTTGCATTTTTCTTCGTCAAAGGCTTTTTAGAGCGGAGTATGTCCTTTACGCATTCGTGAGAAAGCCGATACAGAATTGGAGCCTCGAATTCGTTAAGGAATCGGATGTGATTAGCCACTATCTACTCATTCCACCAATTCTTGCAGAAATGTGGTTGGTGTTATCTAGCCAGAGTTTGACAATACTAAAATTGGAATCAAGGACTGGTAAACTAAAACAGTTATGGATTCACAGAACAGTGAACGAAAACAAAACGCAAAACGATAGGGGTGAATGGTACACAGTTGATCCTGATACTTCTGCTGTCCTTTAATCAGCTGTCTTCAGAGACAATGCACGATTTTCGATCAACAGTTGCGGTAGTCCCAATCGGTTTAATCTCAGTAGTCTCAACAAATTCATGGAAAGTATTGATATGCTTGAAACTAATTTAAAAAGCAATAAAGTATAAAAAAGAGTGAAGATAAAATGATGCATGGATACTTGGAAACTTGGACGGCGCGTCATCGCTGGTTGTGTCGGTTCCAGCATAATTTCCATTGTTTCGGACTTTTGCTGGATTAGCCATCCGCAAATCTCAAAGCGCACATGGATGCTCAATGCTAGGGACGAATCGAATAAAGGACGCTTTTGTATTCGTAAAGCATGTGTGAATTTCAAAGCATGAGCCTCTCATAAATTAAGCCTCGTTCATACATCGTCTTATGGCTAAGTTTTATATCCTCTTCAATTTTACCTCTTTTTTCTTTTAACAGTTCAGAATAACCCGCGGTAGATTATTGAGAGGAAACCGATGCTTTCTGGTGTACAGAATATGTGCAGTATCTCTGAAGGCAGCTGGTTAACCAGAAGTGATAGTTCCATGACCAAATACGAGCCATTCATTCGAAAGACTTTGTGTACTGTTTACGTTCATTGCTCTTTGATTCGGCCTTTCATAAAAGGGATTCCTCTCAAGTTAGAGGATTAAAGCCTATCACTGTAAGTGACTGCCCGTTTTCTTCTATTAATGTGTTGTGTAGATGACACTTCTACAACGACTTCTGTTCATCGTTATTTTCTTGGATCATTAAGCTAAGATTAGATTGGTGCACGAGTGTGAAAGGAAAATACTTGTTCATCAATGGAACGCTTCAGCTTTCTTCACCAGTTTTCGAATTTAGCATCACCCTACGTGATAAGCACGAAAATGCTTCGCTTAGTTAAAAGAAAACAAGTGGTTGATAATCATGAAGACAAAAAAAGTAGCTATGAGAGCATTCTTGAATTCCGACTAACACTGCAACATATCCCGAACTGCAGTACGAATTTTTCAATCATTATCACTATTAATAGTGATTTAAGGACTAAGCAGAAAAGTAGAAATAATTTCAGCTATAAAAACTGTTAAGAATGGCTTGCTGAAAAGGTGTCAGCTATGTGAACAGTATCCATATCAAATCAAAATTGATTGCGATGTGAGCCTGTGAATAACAGTCACCTTCCGATCTCTTTGTCTTTTTAGGGTTTTTTCATCCCAGTTTTTTTTCGCATTTCAGGATGAGAGTAATACTATTTGCTTTTCTGGTGAGTAGCGCCTATGCTGGGATAGTTGACGGCCCG